TCCCAGACCTCCAAGATATTCCAGACATCCCCATCATTGATTTCTCTGCCCTTGACTAGTCCCCCTGAGAATAAGGGGAATGGCATACTGACAATAGTAAAGAGCAAAAGAACAAAACAGAGAAGAGAAACAGACAGGATTAAAATGTATATTCCTGCACCAGCAGGAACCATAACTAGAATAAAGGAAGGGATCGCTATTAAAGTACGAGGATTAAATGGTTATTGGTGTGGGAGGAACCAGCACAAGGATTATGGGGAAGTTACATGGTGTAGTGTGACCTTAAGATAATGAAAGAAAAAAACAGGTGGATCATAGACATAAGGGTAGAAGCCCAAGACTTAGATAAACAATTTGATGTAGTACTTAGTGTTACATTTCCAGGGGGAAGTGTTGCTGAAGTAGTTATTCCTTGGGAAAGTGCACTAAACCCCTTACATGTTAGAGCCCCACCAGAAGCAGAAGAAAGGGAATGGAAGGAGGCGCTGAACAATGACTGGTATAGATGGGCACAATATACTACATTAAAACTAAAGAAAGAAACTGTCTAATATGCTCCCTTAAAATAATTAACAGTAGTACCAAATCCCCACAGCTACCAGGACTGTGCTACGTTTAACCACAACTTCTGTCATCTAAGGGACTCGGAAAGACCATATTGCCCAGCAGAATGTTTGTCATATTTAGGAAATCCTAAATATATATTTTTTTATAATCAACCAGAATGCGGAGAGAAGTGTAAGCAATTAGATGTTAGAATAGGAACAAGGAAAAGGGAAACACCAGAGTAATATCAAATAGACTATGAGCAATTATAGGAGTGTTACAATAAAACAATTGGGTTATATAATTTGGGAGAATTCAAGGGTAAATGTGAAACAATGTGGCATTTATACAGATAGCCTTTGGAATGCAGACACCCCTCAAAGAAAAATCTATCAGGCAGCATGATCAAGTATTAGAAATTGATATTAAGAACGATTGGTGAAACATAATAATTTGTCATATAGTCAATGCTTATAGGGATGTTTTGGATTGGAAATGAACCCAACTAAACTGTTATGATCTGTCCTTTCTCGAGGTTACTCCTGATGGTGTCTTGATGCATAGCACAGATAATTCGGTCCAGAACGGTGTGAACCTCAATAGAAACCAAAAACCCTTTACCCGGCTAAAGAGGAGCAACAAAGGCGTTGAAGACGTTCCTGTCCAGCACCACCTCTACCAGGAGACCTGAATCAGAACCAGCATCCAATCAAAGCAATCAACTGTCTTTTCTATTATGCCGTTTCTCTCAAGAATGTGACAGGAGTCCATGTGGAGTGGGCAGGAAGAGAGATCTATTCAAATACAACATTTCTCATAGTTTGGGTATACTGGTTGGCAAAATGGACAAAACAGAATAGAGGTAGAGGTGGGGCGGCTCAGGTGTGACATTGGAATTGGGACATTGCCATGGGCAATCCAAGTTGAACTATGAAGCTATCTGAAGAACAACTGTTATCTTATCACACACTCAGTCATAGCACAAGATTCTTACTGGAAGGAAGGAGTAACCCTTCTGAAGTCTCTCTTCCCCCCACAGTTAGAGGCCAAGCATATAAGCTATGTGTAGTGTGAATAACATTTACCATTACACCATTCACCGAACAATAATTCAAGGAATATTACTCAGAAATATGAGGACTACGGTTCGTACCATTTAAAAGTAATCAGATTTATTACAGTTATGCAATAAGAATACAATGATCAAATGGCACATGCCAGAAGTCTTCAATGTCAGAAGATACACAATATCTAAAAGTCTATAGGTTAAGTATAAAAACACACGCTACAATGGAACGTGTAATGGAACGCTACACCAGGAGATTGGTTTACAATGACTTCATGAACAAAGTTTCAACCCAGCTTTTATTCTTCCGAGTGCAAAATCCCAGTATCTCCTAGTGTCTAATTAACATGACTTTGCAATGGCCCAAAACATTAAAACAAAAGGCATTAAAACAACACCCGCATTCTTGGATCTAATCATCACAACTCTTATCTAAATGATAGGCGCGCCCATCTGCCTCGCTCCCTCTTTGAACTATGACGAACAGAATAACAGTTTCTCCGTAACAATAAATCCATAGCACTTACAGTACAATAACACATATCAAAATGCGTAGCTCTTTAAGAACTCTTGAAACAATCCAAACATGACAATTTAATTCACACAGTAACATTCATTTAGTCAACTCCCGTTTTCATCTGTCTTCACACCTCCAACAGTGTCCGTGCTCCCAGGGTTCTGTGGGAACGTCTCTTCCTAGAGATTACCACAGACACGGTGTTTGACCCCTGTGATAGCCAACAGATGGTCAGCCATCCAAACATTGTCATAAAACATGAGAGATTGAGTCATCACGCTGAGCATCAGCGCCTGCAAGTCGCTAGTTGCGAGTATCACCTTCTCAAATTTTTCCACTACAAAGTTGATGGATATTGATGAATGCATTTTCATCCATCTCTGTGTGACCATGGCATTAGGTGTTGCTACAACAACTCTGGATTTGTTTCCCTCCTTTAACAAATGGATGTGGTTGTGAGCCCTGAACACACATGATGATGTGATACATTTCTCAAGGTGTGAACAATGACGTCACAGTTTCAGTTTAATTTATCTAAAAATCCCCTGTATACTCACTAGGTTATTCACCACAGTGAACGTGAGCAATGTTGCATCCGCTCCCCCTAAGATTAAACTAAGAATACGTTTGTTAGTTACAGTGCCTTGCAAAAGTATTCATCCCTCTTGGCGTTTTTCCTATTAGAGTTGCATTACAACCTGTAATTTAAATTGATTTTTATTTGGATTTCATGTAATGGACATACACAAAATAGTCCGAATTGGTGAAGTGAAATGAAAAAAATTACTTGTTTCAAAAAAATAAATAACGGAAAAGTGATGCGTGCATATGTATTCACCCCCTTCGCTATGAAGCCCCTAAATAAGATCTGGTGCAACCAATTACCTTCAGAAGTCATATAATTAGTTAAAGAAAGTCCACCTGTGTGCAATCTAAGTGTCACATGATCTGTCACATGATCTCATTATATATACACCTGTTCTGAAAGGCCCCAGAGTCTGCAACACCACTAAGCAAGGGGCACCACCAAGCAAGTGGCACCATGAAGACCAAGGAGCTCTCCAAACCGGTCAGGGACAAAGTTGTGGAGAAGTACAGATCAGGGTTGGGTTCTAAAAAAATCTCTGAAACTTTGAACATCCCACAGAGCACCATTAAATCCATTATAAAAAAATGGAAAGAATATGGCACCACAACAAACCTGCTAAGAGAGGGCCGCCCACCAAAACTCACAGACCAGGCAAGGAGGGCATTAATCAGAGAGGAAACAAAGAGACCAAAGATAACCCTGAAGGAGCTGCAAAGCTCCACAGCGGAGATTGGAGTATCTATCCATAGGACCACTTTAAGCCACTCCACAGAGCTGGGCTTTACGGAAGAGTGGCCAGAAAAAAGCCATTGCTTAAAGAAAAAAATAAGCAAACACGTTTGGTGTTCGCCAAAAGGCATGTGGGAGACTCCCCAAACATATGGAAGAAGGTACTCTGGTCAAATTAGACTAAAATTGAGCTTTTTGGCCATCAAGGAAAACGCTATGTCTGGCGCAAACCCAACATCTCTCATCACCCCGAGAACACCATCCCCACAGTGAAGCATGGTAGTGGCAGCATCATGCTGTGGGGATGTTTTTAATCGGCAGGGACTGGGAAACTGGTCAGAATTGAAGGAATGATGGATGGCGCTAAATACAGGGAAATTCTTGAGGGAAACCTGTTTCAGTCTTCCAGAGATTTGAGACTGGGACAGAGGTTCACCTTCCTGCAGGACAATGACCCTAAGCATACTGCTAAAGCAACACTCGAGTGGTTTAAGGGGAAACATTTAGATGTCTTGGAATGGCCTAGTCAAAGCCCAGACCTCAATCCAATTGAGAATATGTGGTATGACTTAAAGATTGCTGTACACCAGCGGAACCCATCCAACTTGAAGGAACTGGAGCAGTTTTGCCTTGAAGAATGGGCAAAAATCCCAGTGGCTAGATGTGCCAAGCTTATAGAGACATACCCCAAGAGACTTGCTTCTGTAATTGCTGCAAAAGGTGGCTCTACAAAGTATTGAATAGTTATGCACGCTCAAGTTCTGTTTATTTGTCTTATTTCTTGTTTGTTTCACAATTTTAAAAAAATGTCATCTTCAAAGTGGTAGGCGTGTTGTGTAAATCAAATGATACAAACCCCCCCCAAAAAACAATTTTAATTCCAGGTTGTAAGGCAACAAAATAGGAAAAATGCCAAGGGGGCTGATTACTTATGCAAGCCACTGTATATGACAATGACGATGGTCAATGCTACTGACTCCCCTAACCTTGTTCCCAGCATTAGCCTTTGGTAGGAACCAGTTTACTGGCTCCCCTACACTCACATCCCTGCATGTTACAAGAGCACATCAACCACTTCTCCTGTTTTAGATTGTTGCTAATCATTAGAATCTAGATGAATCATTAGAATAAACCTCAGTTTCAAAGAATCATGAATAATCCTATGTGAGCCCAGTCACAAAAACACACTAACCTCTTCCCCAGGCTCAATTGCTAGAGCCGATACAATTTGTGTGCGGCTGTGGTTCGGGCTGGATGTGGGTAGATGTTCAACCGTTCTGATGAAATAACTTCTCTGCTGCACTGGAAATCAGCTTGTTTCCGTCAGAGAAACTGCTGTCAGGTTTGACCCATTAAATTAGGTGAGAATTGAATCTGTTTTTAAATCAACATGAGACATTTTGATGAGACATTTGGATGTGACAGATTACTGAGTAACAGAGTTTAGTTTCCCATCATATCCTCTCCTTTTCTTTCCCCTCTCCACCTCTCCACCTCTCTCTATCCTCTTAACACATGGATCAGAAAAGAGTCTGTGGACAGATGTAGTGTCAGTGTTTTAATTAGACAGCTTCAGAGGTTAAAGTTCACATGGCTGTTATAAAGGCACAGCAATAGACACATCAGATCCACACAACAAACCTTATAGACACTAAAGTCTAGTAGTCCACTCAATATAGCACATTATTGATAGAAAACACTAATTCTCAATATAATCTGATATGATCTAATAAATTCAACAAATGCTTCACAAAACATTCAGTGCTAGTTTACAGAAAGGCTGATAGAAAAACAAGCATTTCTTGTTAGAAAAATAGAGTTTATAAAAAAGGAGAGAGGTGTATTTGTTGTTTCTGGCTGTGTCTGAGAGTTAAGTGTGTGTTTCTGTGTGTGTCCGTGCTTCTGTGCGTCTCAAGGCACGTTCGCCCTGGCCTTGTATCTCTCCAGATGGCGTGTCAGGTCTTCTATTCTCATGTCCTTCAGCTGAACCAGGTGTTCCAGTCTGTTCACCTTGATCTGCAGGATCTACACACACACACCTCAGTGTAAACAATGTATTTAATTACACACATTACTGATATTTTTTTGGGGTCTAGCTTGGTCATATAACTATCTCCTATCAAAGAACGGATGTGACACTGCAGTGACAAGTGTAAATGTGTGTGCGTGATCTTGCTGACCATTTTTAACACAGTAATGATAAAAAGCCATTAGTGGAAACCCACAGCTGATGTCTGCTGAAAGCTCACTGCTGACACTGCTTACACACACACACACAGGAAACATATCTGCTGACCGATAGTGACACACTCCCGCTTCCTCTACATTACAGTCAGGAGGTGTCACTCAAGAGGCCAGATAACACCTGTAACCCTGCCGCCCAGAGAGTGTGTGTGTGTGTGTGTGTGTGTGTGGGTACCTCCACAGTCTCCTGTAGGGCAAGTAGAGCTTGCTCCTTCTCCTCCAGCACCAGACGGATGGTTGGGTCCACCTGAGAACCTAGCACAGTGCTACACACACACATTATAGTCCAGATCGCACAATATTTGTTGCTGTTGTGCTGCACATCTCAGAGGATTACTAAAACAAATGAATATGGTTCCTCCTCCAGATGTTTGTGAGATCTGATCATCTGTGGAGCACGACTACAATAAAAGATGACCTGGAACACGTCCATTACATTTAAAGACTGACACACCGTGCGTTAGTAGTACCTAGTCTTGTCTGTGTGTTGGTGTACGTGTGCCCTCTCCTCTTTCTTCTTCCCCAGTCCTGGTTTCATCTGGGCGTCGTTGGGAGGTGGCTCTGAGGGACATAGAAGAAGGAAAAACAGAGACAGTGGATGTTACATCGGCACCCCCATCTAATCTGTCTGTCCGCCCGTCCGTCAGCAGTAGAAGGATGTCCATCTGTCCATGTGTCTATCTGTACGTCAGCAGGAGAAGGTAGATAGAACAGTGAGACTACTGGCTCTGGGCTGAGAGGACACAGCCTGGGCATCCTATGGACTGAATGGGAGGGGTTAGGGTTTGCGTACAGACAACAGAGTTACATGGATACTTCTAATGGAGACGGTGATGTTGTTGTTGGATGCTCCCATACATTATCAGCCCTTTAAAGGACATTACTGACTGCAGCGGCTCCTGACTCACTTCTATGTGTGTGCGTGTGTGTGTGTGTGTGTCTTTGTCTGTGTGTGTGTGTGTGCAGCTGACCAAGTCCTGACTCAGTCACCTCCTCTAACTACCAGCTAACTGAAGGTGCTGAGTATATCTGGGTCAGCAGAGGAGTCACCCTATACAACTGTGTCACATTATACAACTGTTTGTCTTCACTGCAGAGAGAGAACCAACAGCGCTGTACACAGTGCCTGAGTCAGGGGTTAGGTCAGGGGTCAGGTTTCTGTACCTGTGAGAGGTTTCTCTTGGTTCCTGGTGTTGTAGTATTCCACATCCTAGGAGACAGAAGAATAGTTAGTGTGTTTTTATTTTACACCTCTGTTCTATTGTATGCTATGCTCTACCCTATGTACAGGGACTGGATGTGTGCATGATGAGAATGGAATGTTTGATCATCAAAGGTTGTTTGATTGAATGTTAGATGGTCACACACATGCACATTGCACACCAGTAGTGCGTCTTCAGTGCATTGCTGTCTCTTTTCGTCAATCCTTTCTCGGAGCGAACAGAGGACAGGCTCTATGGCTCCAGCAGTGCTCACCACTATCCTCTTCACTGTCTCCTCTGGGATGTGGAAGTTCAGCTTGGAGAACACCTTCCTGTAAACATGGAGACACGCAGATTTTGGGTCAGTTTTGCATTTCTCCCACTAATGGTTAAGGTTAGATTGGGGGAGGGGAAGCTGATGCTAGATCTGTACCTTGGGAAAACTTCCCCTGGGGCGAGAGTAGAGGAAACATATGTTAATCTATGCAGTTAGGGCTATTTTATGTATCTCTATGGCTGGGTCCAAAATGGCTGTGGTCCAACCCAGTGGTCAGTGAGTAGGAGTTCTCACGGCCCTGTGTAGTTGCTTAGAAGCAGAATACAGCATCAAATTCTCTACGATTCCCAGGGGAACCTATTCAGTACAGTAGCACACACACACACACAAACACATGCAGGCCTACATGCACACGCACACACACTCACACACACACACTTACTTGCCTGTTGAGAGTGCCCCAGTTGCTGAGTTTCTGCTGTATAGAGTTGGCTGGGCTGTAGTTGTGAAGCTCCACCAGTTTGGGAAAGAAATACTTGACGACCTCAGCAGCCATCACTGGAACAATGGCCGATATAAACAACACTGCTATGACATGTTTCTGTCTGGACTAACTATGCTTAGTTGACAACCACAGGACAGTGCTCAATAAAACTGACAACAGAAAGAAAAGTAATTCAATTAATAATGTAATACATATTTCAATTATAATAGTTTCATCATTGTCCCACTGGCTATCATAAGTTGAATGCACCAATTTGTAAGTCGCTCTGGATAAGAGCGTCGGCTAAATGATGTAAATGTAAATGTAAATAATTTATAAATGACCATGCACCAAAGATGTTGGTTAACTCAAGTAGCTAAGTTAGCCCCTAGGCCAAGGTTCCGTTTTGGTTTTTGCCCTAGCACTACACAGCTGATTCAAATAATGAACTAATCGTCAAGCTTTGATCATTTGAATCAGCTGTGTAGTGTTAGGGCAAAAAACTAAACGTGCACCTTTTGGGGTCCAGAGGACCGAGTTCGGGAAACGCTACCCTAGGCCCAGAATAAACAATTTTCAGCCACACGCTGCCTCCACCTCTCTCCTGCTTCTTCTGTGGTTTTTATAGGGCAATTGGCAACCAACTTTAAGATGCTTTACCACCACCAACTGGACTAGAGTGTGGACCAGAAACAGGGAAGTTCTAGCTCCTACCCATTATTCTCGTCTCCTCAAGGAAATTAAGGAAACAAAATACATAATTAAATACTACATCCCCTTTCCCTCCCATATTGCTGGCACTGAAATAACGTGTTCCACGGTCTCCATCTCCTCATGATCACACCTCCAAGTCGGATGTTTTCCAACCAATTTGAATGTACTGTTGAGCCTTATGTGTCCCAGAGGAATATAATAATATGAATTGAATGGAGTTTCCCATCTTCCCATTTAGAGTTTCTGGCGCAGCACAGAAATGCCCTTATCCAGATGGTGTGACAAAGGTATTTCCTAACAGACCTGCTAACTTTCTTTGTTGTTACTTTTAAGGGTGGAACCAACATGCAGTACCTCCAGCAGGAAGAGAGGCAAGAACCATTCGTCCGCCAGTTCAACCATTCGTCCGCCGTGTGTAATGTTCAATGTAATTGCATTGCTGGACTTTTTGAAACTTCATGTATTTGTATTCTTTAAAGTGTTTACAAATAAAAGGAAATGTATGGTTTAAACATGTCTTTAATGTTTATTTGTTTTAGCTGTTAGTGATAATTCCCTAAGTGTTAATAGATTTGTGTTTACATCATTATCATGGGGCTCCCGAGTGGCGCAGTGGTCTAAGGCACTGCATCTCAGTACTTGAGGCGTCACTACAGACCCCCTGTTTCGATTCCAGGCTGTATCACAACCGGCTGTGATTGGGAGTCCCATAGGGCGGCGCACAGTTGTCCCAGCGTCGTCCGGGTTTGGCCGGTGTAGGCCGTCATTGTAAATAAGAATTTGTTCTTAACTGACTTGCCTAGTTAAATAAAGGTTAAATAAAATAAAAAATTAAGCCTTTATGTACGTGTTATGAATGACCAAAGGTGTCTGACTTTATGGTAAGTACAGCATCATGCGATATAGAGTCTTTATGGATGCGTTACTTCAAACTAAGTATTACAGGACACTACATAAACTGTCAATAAACAGGTTATTAACGTTCTGCTGATTTATGAAGGTTCTCTCATGATCCACATGATACTGTAGGGTGTGAGAGGTATTGAAATGGATTGATGGACCTGCAAAGCATGCGTTTGTGTGTGTGTGTGTGTGTGTGTGTGTGTGTGTCAGAACCGCGATGATTTGGAGTAGTCCAACCTAAGACCACCACACCAGGTATTCCTCTTCTGTTCCCATGCTGGAGACCAGGGCTTGGTTACAACCTGTTACAATGGTGGCAACATTTAGTGTCTGATCTTTCAGCTGGGGAGTGGGTGAATGTGTCAAAGACCTGGCCCAGCACCGCGTGGTATGGCTTGATTTTGTTGTGTGTATGTTTGTGTACTGAGGAACATGTAACTTGGTTCTAGAAGAAAGACACTTTCAATTTCTTTAGGTTTGGGGTCTTTCATCAAGGTAAGTGGTTTTTGGTGTATCGTCGTCCCCAGGCTATTGCACACACCATTCAAAGTTGGCCTTAGTGGGAGTGACCATAGAATTCTATAGGCGTGACCTTACTGATGAGTAAAGTATTTGTTATCGTCACTACTTAACACAGTCAAAAAGTCATAATTATTGCTAGACCCTCCCATTTCCACAATGTATCTTCTTAAAATGTGATTTTAAACCATACCCTAACTAATGAAGGCCAAGTTGGTCCACCAGACCTTCCGCGCATTTGGGCAGAAGTGTCTGGGAACAAGATTAGGTGTAATGTGACTAACATGACATCACTTTTGAGCGTGTGCCATCCTTCAGCACAGCATGTCACCCATTATAAAGCACGTTTATATCATATTTGACATAGTGGATTATGTCACACAGTTATGCCACATTTATGACCCTTTATAAAGCATGACATATGGTTATAGATGCTTTGTAACACGTTTTTGTAGTGCTTATGAAGGCATTATGAAGACTTTATGAAGCCTTTATAAGCTGAACATCATTTAAAGCGGGACCGAACTGTGCACCTTCACAAATGCCTGGGCTAACATCTCTGTCTTCTCCATGTGTTTCACTGCAACAGTCTCCCCACTTTTCAGCACATGGGGATCCCAATCTCGTCTGACCCCAATCATCCTCTTAATCATCCCCCATACCACTCCCACAAGAGTAGTGCTGCCTATGTTTCTAACAGTACACTTGATTGGGGAGTGATCACTACCCCCTGTAGAATCCTCCCATGCCCCCCAGCTACATCTGCCTTCCATCATTGAACTAGAGATCAGAGTAAGATCCAGAGCAGATTCATTTCCAGTTACTGGGTCTCTCCCTCTCTAAGGACGTCGTTAATTTAGATACCCTACCTCCGTCGCTGAAGTCTCTTGTTATATTCCTCTTAGGTCTGGACAGTGGTATTTTGTCTATCCAGGCATACAAGTCTTGCAATATTTCTTCGTTTAATTCTTTGTCCATTCTGTATACCGGTCCTTCATCGGACAACTTTGCACTTCGATTTTCAGCTAGCCTGTATCGTTAGCTAGCAAGCTTCCCACGACGGTCGTCACTAGTTACCACAAACATAAAGTAATAAACCCCGCCTGTTTCTACAATTTCTCGTCTTAAAATCTGATTTTAAACCTAACCTAACCTTAACCACACTGATAACCGTATCACTAACCCTAACCTTAAATTAAGACCAAAAAGCAAAAAAAAAAAATTATGAATTTTTACGATATAGCCTATTTGTGGCTGTGCTATCTAGTGGAAACAGGTTGTTTGTTTAACTCGTTGCTAGGTAACCAATATAGTATGGAAACTGAGAAAGGACTAACCTCATCAGTAATGAGTGAGCCCATAGAAATATAATTATGAGTGGCGGGAGAAACAACAACACACTGAAAAGTGTACACATTTTATTATTTTATAACAGACAACGTATTTTCCAATAAATAGCATGTCTACACATTCTTTGTCAAGTTTTTATGAGGTAGAAAATGTGCACAGAGTTGCAAAGCAGAATGCACCATAGACCCTTCAAAACATTACAATCAACATCATACACCAATAGTAAAATAAGATTTAAAATGACAATAATGCCAAGATGAACCAGAGTGGTCCAAATAGACCCTTAGCCCCTACCTGACCCCAGCCATTCCTCCCTAGCCCTCACCCTGGGTTCGTTCAGCAGGATGCAACGTTTTAATAATATATACAGTATAATATACAGTATGCCTTTTATCCAAAGAGACTTACAGTCATACATGCATACATTTTACATATGGGTGGTCCCGGGAATCAAACCCACTACCCTGGCATTACAAGCGCCATGCTTTACCAACTGAGCTATGAATGGCCACGTTTAGATAGAAATACGCAATGTAGAACAAACATGCCTCTCTGCAGGGTTGGCTAGGTTACTTTATAAATGTAATCTGTTACAGTTACTATACTGAACAAAAATATAAACGCAACATGCAGCAATTTCAATGATGTTACTGAATTACAGTTCATATAAGTGAATCAGTCAATTGAAATGAATTCATTAGGCCCTAATCTATGGATTTCACATGACTGGGCAGGGGCGCAGCCATGGGTGGGCCTTGGAGGGCATAGGTTCACCAACTTGGGAGCCAGGCCCACCCACTGGGGAGCCAGGCCCAGCCAATCAGAATGAGTTTTTCCCCACAAAAGGGCTTTATTAGAGACAGAAGTACTCCTCAGTTTCATCAGCTGTCCGGGTGGCTGGTCTCAGACAGCCACAGCTGAAGAAGCCGGATGTGGAGGTCCTGGGCTGGCGTTGATACACGTGGTCTGCGGTTGTGAGGCCAATTGGAAGTACTGCCAAATTCTCTAAAACGACGTTGGAGGCAGCTAATGGTAGAGAAATGAACATTCAATTCTCTGGCAACAGCTCTGGTGGACATTCCTGCAGTCAGTATGCCAATTGCACGCTTCCTTAAAACTTGAGACATCTGTGGCATTGTGTTGTGTGAGAAAACTGCACATTTTAGAGTGACCTTTTATTGTCCCCAGCACAAGGTGCATCTGTGCAATGATCATGCTGTTTAATAAGCTTCTTGATATGCCACACCTGTCAGGTAGATGGATTATCTTGGCAAAGGAAAAATGCTCACTAACAGGGCTGTAAACAAATTTGTGCTCAAAACTTGAGAGAAATAAGCTTTTTGTACGTATGAAACATTTCTGGGATCTTTTATTTCAGCTTATGAAACATGGGACCAACACTTTACATGTTGCGTTTATATTTTGGTTCAGTAAAGTTACCTGTCAAATATTTTAATCAGTAATGTAACTTTTGGATTACCTAAACTCAGTAATGTAATCTGATTACTTTCAGTTACTTTTACCCTTAAGTGGGCAGGTTAGCGTTTTTTATTATGAATCTTGTTTTGGAGGCAGCTCTGCTGAGTGGTCACTAGCTAGCACAGCCACAAAGTCATAAAATCTGATTTTAAACCTAACCTTAACCTCTACGGGATCGGTGTCCCGTATACGGGACTGTTGAGCTAACGTGTGCTAATGTGATTAGCATGACTGTTGTAAGTAACAGCAAACTTTCCAGGACATAGACATGTCTTATATGGGCAGAAAGCTTAAATTCCTGTTAATCTAACTGCACTGTCCAATTTACAGTACCTTTTACTGTGAAAAAATACCATGCTATTGTTTGAGGAGAGTGTACAACAACAAAAAACTTATCACGGCAACTGGTTTGATACATTCACCTCTGAAGGTAAATAATGTACTTAAATTCAGTAATCTTGCTCTGATTTGTCATCCTAAGGGTCCCAGAGATAAAATGTAGCATAGTTCTGTTTGGTAAAATCCATTTTTATATTCAAATGTAGGAACTGGGTTCTACAGTTTGAACCCCTGCTGTCTCTGGCTCCACACCCACCCCACCCGGCCATCTAGATGTGTGAAAGTTAGTGTATAAGCTAATGATCCATCATGTATGACATTCCTGGGAGTATGTAAACTTACATTTTGTCTTACCATATCATTTTTGTATGTTCTCTATAGTTATGTACTTGAAAATGTATTAATTGACTAATTCGGCACATTTGGGCAGACTTGGTCCAAAAATAGTCCAGTATTGCAGTGTTTCACTGGATCAATCTGAAACTTTGCACACACACATTGCTTCCATCTAGTGGCCAAAATCTATATTGCGCCTGAACTGCAATATTATATTGTAGCCTTTCTCTTGCGTTTCAAAGATGATGGAACAAAAATAAATAAAAAAACACATTTTTTGGGGTTTGTAATATCTTTTACCAGATCTAATGTGTTATATTCTCCTACAATAATTTCACATTTCCACAAACTTCAAAGTCTGTCCTTTCAAATGGTATCAAGAATATGCATATCCTTGCTTCAGGTCCTGAGCTACAGGCAGTTAGATTTGGGTATGTCATTTTAGGCGAAAATTGAAAAAAAGGGTCAGATCCTTAAGAGGTTAACCACACTGCTAACCCTAATGCCTAAACTTAACCTTAAGTGAAGACCAAAAAGCTAATTTTAGTTTTCATTCATTTTTACAATATAACCTATTACAATATAATATAACTTTGCAGCTGGCCCATCTAGTGGCAATCACTCAGTCCTGCCTCAATGACAAGACTCATCCCAATAGACATCAACCTGCTTAATAAGCATTAGAAGAAGCCAAAAAATAAATATATACAATTGCTAGAGGACTAGCGGGAGTGATAAGTACAATTTTAGTCTTAATCTGTTGTCATCTAGAACTGTCTTTTTGCTAGCTAGGGCCATCTACTTTAAGTGCTGCCTGTCTTCCCAGTAGCCTACTTGGTGTGTGAACGGCTGTCTGCTATTAACTTGCAGATATTGTTGATATATCAACCAGGATTAAGGGGCAGGTGAATATGCGACTGTTGTTGTCTTCGTAATCTGTGGCTGTATTGGAGGGGGAGGGGTTTCTCCTCTCAACCCATGTGGAATTCCTGGCTCTGGCAGCGTTTGGAACTGCCGATCTGCAGTTCATCTCAACCCCCCTCCAGGTGTCTGATCACTACTTTGTTTCTTTTTCTGTCTCCCTCTCCTCCAACCCTAGCCACTCAGCCCCTACCTATGACTATGACTCACACTGTCTCCTTTCCTCTTGACCAGCTCGGCTCTCCCCTCCTGCTCCGTGCTGAGTGATTCATTGCGAGCTTACAGAACAGGGCTGCGGGCAGCTGGAGGAAAACTAAACTTCCGGAGGACCTATCATCCTTTCACTCTGTCGTCTCTACCTTCTCTTCTTTTGAATCAACTGCTAAAGCCACTTTATATCACACTAAATTACAAGCTTCTGCCTCTAACCCTAGGAAACTATTTTCCACTTTCTCCTCCCTCCTTAATCCTCCACCCCCTCCCTCTGCCTCTCTGCAGATGACTTTGTCAAGCACTTTGAAAAGAAGGTTGACGACATCCGCTTCTCATTCACTCGTTCACTGGTCCCACTCATACAGAGCTACACTACGCCTGGACCTATTTCTCCCCTCTCTCTTCAGATGAAATCCTGCGACTATTGAGGTCCGGCCGCCCGACAACCTGTCCACTCGTCCCCATCCCCTCCTCCAGACCATCTCTGGAGACCTTCTCCCATGCCTCACTTTCCTCATCCCTGACCACTGACTGCGTCCCATCTGACTTCAAAATGGCCAGTGTCGCTCCCCTCCTCAAGAAACCAATACTCTACCCCTCTGACCTCTAAAACTACAGACCAGTATCCTTTCTTTCTTTTATTTCCAAAACACTTGAGCGTGCCGTCTCTGACCAACTCTCTCGATATCTCTCTCTCAGAACGATCTTCTTGACCCTAACCAGTCAGACTTCAAGACGGGTCACTCAACCAAGACTGCTCTTCTCTGTGTCATGGAGGCTCTCCGCACTGCCAAAGTTGACTCTCTCCTCTGTTCTCATCCTCCTAGATTTATCCGCTGCCTTCGACACCGTGAACTATCAGATTGTATGGTCATTTATTTGACTAAGGGGTCATAGGTCAAATCAGTGGTCATGGTTGATATGCATAAAAAATGACTTCATAATCAGATAATACATCAATGCATTATCACTTGTCTACCTACAACATATTTGGCTGGACAGCAAATAAACTTCAAAGCAATTTTTCTCAGTTTCACTGTTTGCGTAGTTACTGCTTTTTGCCTCTTTTTTTTTACTTGGATTTTTTATTTACTGCAAATTTCACACTCCATTTTCTCTGAAATGGAACAATTGAACGAGGACATTTTGTCACAAGATACAACATATACTACAAATCCTGATTTCAGTCTTCACAAAATTTTGAGCAAAAGTGTAGTTACTATGTTTTGCTTTTGTAGGGCAGAATTGGTATCAAGCAGGGACGGCTTGTTCAATAGGGCGATATGGGCGACGGGAAAAGGAAGGGATTTTTTTTCTAATCAATTATATCACGGCAACAGCAGTTATCAGTGTTCACGTCTGATCTGCCAGCCACTAAATGTCAAATCAGGCTAAAGTCGTGCTTCAAATGGCCCCGCCCGTTTTTTGGGCGATTTCAGTCAGGTT